AGAAGACTGCCTTGTGTGGTTTAGGAATCTCTGAGAACCGCAGACCTGGGGAGTGTGCCGGGGAGCGAAATGCTTATCAGAAATGCCGATGACCTTTAGGGAAATCCAAAATGAATGCAGTTTCAGTTTCCTGTGGGCCCTCAGTATGGTATTAGCAAGGGAAATTTGGAATTGATCTCATCCCTAGACAAGAAAAACCATAAATCATGATGCTAGAAGTCAAAATAGGAATTTAATAATAGGCGTGGGCATCTAGAAGGATGGAGGAGTTAGAATTTGGCAAATGATCTGGAAATGGGCACATGAAACAAACAAGCTAAAGGACGCAATCAAGCTGTTTCGAGAAGAATTTTCCCACAGTGCTTCAGACAAAGAATAAAGAAGTACTTTGTTGGCCAAACTTTTGTAGCTTATTTTCATCAAAACAAAATCTTTAGTGGTACTTCTGTGGAAGTGAGTTTTTAACAATATGCTTTATGTCCAGACTTGGAAAAGGCCTTTAACACCGTGACCAGCTGTAAAGATGGAAATCTTGAACAACAAACTGTTTTTCAATCTCCATTTTAGTAATAACCACAAGGTCAGCGGTTCAACCCCACCAGCCGCTTCTCGGAAACCTTGCACAGAGTTATTATGAGTCCTAACTGACTTGACGGCACTTCACAACAAGGAGACGTTCACCCTCAGTCTCCCAGAGCCTGTGCTAGCTGAGCATCTGCCACTGTGAACATGCTCCCTCCAGGAGGTGCTGGGCGGTCTGGGTGCGGACAATGGGCAGCACCTTTGAATTTCACACATGCGGTCAGTATGTCCTCACTGATACCGCTCAGGGCTGGGGCGGCATTTACTATGCAGACTAGGAAAGCCTGGCTCAGCATTGCAAGGGTCAGAACCCAGGGTTCTAACCGAAATTCACACCCGAGCACCGTCACATGGAACAGAAATGTGCTGGGAGGCCCCCTGAGAAGATCCCTGGCTCTAGTCCACTTGGAGCAGAGATGAGTGACCTCAGAGCCGTGGTCGTTTGTACTTTTTGGAAGTGAGTCGGCAACAGACGAGAAGGGCAAGAAACATACTTTTGCGACTTCTTTTCTTGCTCATAGTCAACCATGCACCCTTCCTTTTATTTAGCTACGATCTGCACTGCTTCAGAAGAAAGGCCTGACCCGGGACTTCTGAAAGGTCACAGTCACCGAACTGCCCTGGGGCTCTAACAGTGGGGGGGACAGGCTGACCCCTATGAGGTGTCAGTCAGGAACACCTCCTCTTGCCCCTCCCATGCACGGTCTCCTTCATGACACTTGTTGCTGTTGTTACGTGCCGCCAAGTCGGTTCCGACTCATAGTGACCCTTCCTAGGTTTTCCAAGGAACAGCTGGTGGATTTGAACCACCAGCCTTGCCGTCCAGTGCATTATCCTGCAGTGCTTTATCAACACTTCCTTTATGACAGTAGCTACCCAGAACTCCCAGACAATTTTCACAATAACTGGGTTTAGTAAGGAGGTAACAGAAACAATGCAGAACCTTTGTTCTTAATCAGGACAGCTTCTTCCCACCCCTTGCCGTTGGGCCATGTAACTCTGAGCTCCAGGGGTGGGGAAGCCACGTGCCTCCAGGTGCCCAAAGACACCCCACTCTGCCAGCAAGCCTCCTGCCTGAAGATGCTCAGCTTTTACACTTCATGGGCTGGGAATGCCAGCCCATGAATGCTTCTCGCCATTGTCTCTCTCTCTCTGTCTCACGCTCCATGCCTTTCTTTCTTTCTTCTCCTGGCTCTAGGAGGAGCTCTGGTAGCATAGTGATTACGAATCGGGCAGCTAATCTCATGGTCAGCAGTTTGAAATTTCCAGTGGTTTCATGGGAGAAAGACGAGGCTTTCTGTTCCTATAAAGATTCATACCCTCGGAAATCCTATACAGGGTCGCTATGAGTCAGAACCAACTCCACAGCACACCACCACCACCACCTGGGTCTAGGAGGTTCCCAGCACAGGGACCCCCAGGCCCCACTCCCGTGTCTTCTTGGTGATACTGAGTTTCCCCGTCTGCCTGTAGCTCACTATTAACCCAGCTGGATAGTAACCTGACCAGTCCCCTTGTTAGGCTTCCAGAGACCTTATTTGCATTATTAATGAACTGCCCAGTCCCACGGTCATCTGGTGAGGATTACAGAGGCTGTGACTCAGCTCTGCTCTGACACATGGGGTCTCTGTGAGTCACAGATAACTCAATGCCACTGTTTCCCCACCCCAACCACACGACCCTAACAACCCACACCTGTGATCTAGCCCGTAGAGGTGTTTCACACGTGCCTCAACACGACCCTAACAGCCCACACCTGTGATCTAGCCCATAGAGGTGTCTCACACGTGTGTCATGCAGCCCAAGAAGCACGGTCACCTCGTGAGCGTGCTCGCTCTAATAGGGCCAGTGGGGTGGAGCTCTAGGCTGTGACGTAAAAGACCTCCAAGGCACAGAATACTGTGTGCTCCATCATGCACAGTCGGACTTTGGGGAGGCAGGACTGGTTTGGCTCCCTCCCCGTGAGCACACCTGTTCCCGTGAGGTGTGAGCGGTCAGCCTGACTCCACGGACAGGGCCCATTGTATGTCTCTGACTGCAGGGCCGGGAAGCCTTTTCACTTATCTAGTGCCATCTGTGGTTTCCTTTTCCTCAGCAGGCTTCCTTCGGCCCATTTTTCTGTTTAGTTTGTTCACGGTGTCACTCACTGAGAATAGGGTTTAACGTGTTCTAAAGCAGTTAGCCTCGGCTACGAGTTGTAGATGTATGTGAAGGCGTCCAGTGGCCTCGTGGTGGTCCGCTCCATTCTGTCCCATTACTCAGGCCTCCTGGTAAGACTGGCAACTTCTCTTGCCCAGGCACAAGACCACTTCGCTTCATTAATACTCACACAGTATCATTCATAATGCATGCTAGTCCAATTCTGCTGGAGAGAATTCAAAGATGGCTGCCACATTACATTGACAGGGAACTGCCAAAGGTTTAAGCCAGATTCAGACCAGGACGTGGACAGAAGGAGATCATTGCTGACGTCAGATGGATCTTGGCTGAAAGCAGAGAATACCAGAAAGTTGTTTACTTGTGCTTTATTGACTACACACAAACTTTGTGTGGATCTTGACAAGCTATGGATAACACTGCAGAGAATGAGTATTCCAGAACACTTAACTATGCTCATGAGGAACTGCACAGAGATCAGGAGGCAGTTGCTCAAACAGACCAAGAGGACACTGAATGGGTTAAAATTTGGAAAGGGTGGCCACAACTGTGTGCTTTCCCCATATACTGATTCAGTCTGTCTGCTGAGCACATAACTGAGACTGGATAACATGGAAAGGAATGTGGCATCAGAATTGCATGAAGAGTCCCTGACAACCTGTGATATGCACATGATACAACCTTGCTTGCTATAAGTGAAGAAGATTTAAAATAGCTACTGATGAAGATCAAAGACCACAGCCTTTGGTATGGGTTGCACCTCAATGTAAAGAAAACAAAACTCCTCCCCACGGAAGCAATAAATAACATCTTGGTAAGTGGCTAATTGAGGAATCTGGGTGTGGCACTGTAGGAAAAGCCCTTAACTGCAAGATCAGTTGTTCAAACTCCTCGGAAACCCTACAGAGTCGCTATGGGTCGGAACTGATTTGATGGCACTCAACAACAACAAGTGGAAAAAAGTTGAAATTGTCAGAAACTTCATTTTGCTTGGACCCACCATCAACAATCATGGAAGCAACAATCAAGAGATCAAAGGCCGTATTGCATTAGGCAAATCTGCTGCACAAGACCTCTTCAAAGTGTTCAAGAGCAAAGATGTCAGCTTAAGGACTAAGGTGTGCTTGACCCAAGCTGTGGTGTTTTCAATAACCTCATATGTACACAGAAGTTGAACAATGAATAAGGAAGCCCGTACAAGAATTGATGCATTTGAATTATGGTCTTGGAGAAGAATACTAAAGGTACCATGGACCGCCGGAAGAACAAACCAGTCTGTGTTGGAAGAAGTACAGTCAAATGCTCCTTTAGAAGCCAGGATGGCCAGACTTCGTCCCTAATATTTCAGACATATTGTCAGGAAAGACCAGTTCTTGGAGAAGGGCAGCATGCTTGGTAAAGCTAGACTGGCACAGTGGCAGCAGCAATTGTGAGGATGTTCTGTGGTACATGGTACATAGGGTCTCTCTGAGCCAGAACTGACTCGACAGCACCTAACGACAAGTTCATCTTAGAGATTTGTGAGGTACGGGTACAGCCCGATTTTTCCGGATAGGAATCTGGTCTTTCCTCAGACCGATGTCTCTCTTCACCTGTCTGTTCTCTTGATCTGTGTGCATCACCAGGACCAGCAGCAAGCCTTTGAATTCTAGTCAATGACTGTTGCTAGTTTCCATTAGTTTCCACATCTGACACAGCCAGGCTTTCCTCGTTTTGTTATTCAGTTTCCTTGGCAGCTCTTGCAGTTTTCTTAGAATTAGTCTGACAGGCTCCTCAGGAATCACTCCGACTCAGCAATTAGGAGTACAGGGCTGTAGGCTGACTCAGCGGTTAGGGGATACAAGGGTTGTAGAGTTAGTGGTTGGGGGTGCGATGGTTGTAGATTGAGCAGTTAGGGGGCATGGGGGCTGTACATTTACTCAGTGGCTGAGATGAAATATGTTATCATTCATGGGGAGCTTGGTAAACAGGTCTTCATGAGAGTCCGTTTTCTGGTAAAATCATTAAAATGGTATGATAAAATGTTCACCAAAATGAGGAATCATTTCTGTAGCTGAAACTTTTTGAGAAAGAAGAGTGAAAATAGACTGAGAATCACAAAATGCCTCAGGCTCTTTGCTTTGTGTAGTTTGTGAATCTCCTTTGTACCCTGGACAGCAGAAAGAGGCTCGAACGTGGCTTTCATGGGTGTTCTGGGTGGACAGTGGTTGTGTAAAGTCCCCCACCCCTCACTGTACTTTTTCTTATCTGTCTTGTCCTAGCCTAAATGCCAAGGCCAGCTGTTGCTGACTCAGGTGTGGACACGGCTAAACTTGGTGGAGTCTGACTACTTCGGACTGGAGTTCCAAAACATCCAGACATGCTGGGTATGTGAAGCTGTTTCTCTGTGCTTCTGACACAGTTTGGGATGGTGCAGAGTGTCTGGGTGGGTGCACACAGGCAGGGGACACGGGGCTGTGCCACCTGACAGTGGGGCTGATACCTGGCACACCTTTCCTGTCAAAGCGCTCTCAGAACCTGAGGCCACGGACGGAGGGACTTTATACCTGGCCCGCTGTATACTGTCAAAGTCAGTGTTCAGAGATTTCATGTGTTGATATAGAACTCCTGAATTCTCACCCTCACTAACCCTACCCATCCGTTTACACACGTGCCTAACTCCAGAAGTTACCAGTGCTGTACTGGGTGGCTGCTACTCGTCTCACAGCACTAGTGAAATGGAACCTCACAAAGTGGTGGCCTTACGATTTAACATGGTACAGAGGCTCCATGGGGCGCCCGGAGACCCTCCCGTGGAGCGCTGCTGGAGAGCGGCCCCTCGCTTCGCCCTTCAAAGTAGAGTGCACACTTGTGTTTAAACAGTAAATCGTTGGAGCCAGTCAATGCCGAGAGCCAGCCACACAAACATTTCTCTAGATCAAAAATACTTTTTGTATTTTATAATGCTTACTAAATTGAGAGAACGTTCATGGCTTTGATCTCTTTTCTTAAATCCTCTCTAGATCTGGCTTGAACCGATGAAGCCCGTCATTAAACAAGTACGAAGTGAGTCCTTTTGAAATTCTGTTCATTTAAGTGGCTTTGTTCCTGAATGCCCCCAGTTCATGAGCCTGCTCTGGGGGGCGCAGTGCTCCTCACCACCAACGGGCACACCCATATGTCACCTGAATGCTGTTTGCCGTCAGCTTATTACTTCTCCCGTAAACAGAAATCAGTGTGTGGTTTTTCTTATGTCATCGGGAGGCGCTGGGATTCCGCCTTTAAGTGGAAACTGTTCTATAGTTACAACGGAGCTGTAATTAGAGGTGTCATTGTGTTGATGGTTCTCTGTTCCGTTTTCAGTGACAGCCCGTGTAATGCCGGTTAGGACTGAGTGCACGGGGACACAGTATGGGGGAGTAACTTACTGTACACCATCTCAAGAGCCATGCATGTTAGCAAAAAAACCCCTTTTGCTTCTTTGTGTAAACGACAAGCTGTGGAATTATAAAATGTCAACAGAGCTAACATACTGTGTCTAGAGCAGCTAATGAATGACTCTGAGGCCTTTTCTTCATAGTAATCGAATTGTTCCAGTTCAACATACTAGAACAAAGCAACTTCAGACGGTTCATTTTTAATTCCATTTTTCACACAAATTTTTGAAGCTCCCTAGTATATCATATGTGCTATATAATGCATAGGAATTTCAAAAACAATCTTCCTGTATTGTTACTGCTACTAATAGTATGAAGACAGAAAACCTAGTGCCGTCAAGTTCATTCCAGCTCACAGCCACCCTGTCCGGGTTTACTGAGATGATAAATCTTGATGGCTGCACACAGCCTCATCTTTCTCCCACAGAGCAGCTAATGGGTTTGAACCACCAACCTTGTTGTTGACAGTCCAATGCCTAACCCACAGCACCACCAGGGCCTCTTACTAATAGTCTACTTAAATTTATGCTTATTAATCCAAAATTATGAGCAGGAGTAGAGCTCAGGGCATTGTAGGGCAGTGAAACGATTCTGCATGATACCAATATGATGGACACGTGTCATAATGTGTTTATCAAGACCTGCAGGACCGTACAGCACCGAGAGTGGACCCTGGTTTGAGCTGTGGACTTGATCTCATAATCATGTCTCGTCATACTCCACAGGGCAGCCGCTCGGAGGGAGAGGGGCCTGCTCGGGCACTACACACAAAGGCTATGCTGTTCTCTGAATCGGAACGGATCTGAAAAACAAAGCCTAGTAAAAAACTAAAAAGGATATATATTCGTTTTTAACGTGCAGTTTTAGGCTTGTTTTTAGGATTGTCTTAATTGTCTCCTGGCTACCGATTTTTTATGTTTTTCTTTGGTCTATGTGATTGGTATTTAGAACAGATCATTTCATGCACAGGAAATACTTTAACGTCATATTTGAAGAGATTTGTTCTAACAGAAAACACTAGCTTGCTTACAATATAATAAATATATGGAATGAGAAAGTATCAGGATTCGTTTTGTGAAGTTTACATTTTTTGTTGTTCTAGGGCCAAAGAATGCATTGTTTCGTCTAGCTGTGAAGTTTTTCCCACCTGACCCGGGTCAGCTACAAGAAGAATACACAAGGTAGATAGTGGGACTTGAGCCCAGGCTGCGTGTGCAGGGGTCTTACAGCACCTTTGACCTTTGACCTTTGACCTTTCACTCCTCACAGACCTGGCTGCTCAAGTGCTCAGGCTGTGCTTGTTGAAAGAATGAATGAGCCTCACATGTGTGCATGAGAACTGTCGTGAGCATAGAGGTTGAAGGAAGCTTTTGGTTCTTGACTCTTGCAAAAAACACACACACAGACACACACACACACACAGACACACACACACACACAGACACACACACACACACACCCCACCCCCAGTAGGATTGGGAGGAAAGCTTTGTGATGCAAATTTGAGAGTTAAAACTGGGGTGCTAGGGCAATGTTGGACTTGTATTCTGCACTGCCATTAAATGCTTGGGGGTTCATGTAGTGACTTCCATATCAGCAAGGTATGCTTTGTGGGCAGAAGGACGTTACACAGAGAGTGGGTAGAAAGACTTCAGTGTGTTCTTTTGGGCTACTATTTGGAATTCAGCATGGAGTCTTTGCTAAAGTTATTGGAAGAAAAGTAACACTATTTCATCTTGTCAATAGAACTGTGGACTTCTTTTTTTGTATTTTTATGTATCAATTTTTACCATAATAAGAAAGCAACATCTTAAAATCAGCCTGAAATCCCAGGTCAGAAATCAGACAGAGGGGAACTAGTGTGCGTGCTGATGGGGGAGCTGGTGAGAACAGCTGTGGCCTTCAGTGGGTCCAGAAACAGGCCCCAGGTGTGGCGGGAGCTCTTCCTTGAGCAGTGTCTGCTGCTTGTTGGGGTACCCCGTTACTGCTGGCTGCCAGCTAAAGGGGCACAGCCTCCATCCAGGGGAGGAGACCCAGTGCCAGTGGCACCAAATAGGCTTTCTGGGTGAGCTTGGCTGCCAACAAGCACTTCTGAAAGATTCCTTCTGAAGAAAAGACTTGTTGAGGCTCATTCATTCTTTCAACAAGCACAGCCTGAGCACTTGAGCAGCCAGGTCTGTGGGAGTGATGGGAGCAGGTCTAAGGACTTGTTCTGGGAGTGAGTTTTACAGTCACCCCTCCCCATTTGTATGCAGAGAGGTCCTTTGAAAGTGTGTATTTTTGAAGAGGTACACGTGGGGGTGAAATTAAATAATAGAAAAACGACTGTGTTGAATGAGCGGTGACAATTCCCCTCAGGGTCCTCACACCGTCCCCTCACAGCCAAGTGTCTGCTCCGCTCCGGAGACCACAGCTGTGTCTTTCTTCCACAAAACACGCTCCACCTCTCTGCGTTGGATTGTAGATTGTTGGGGGTTTTCTCCCCCACCTAATAATACGTCACAGACATCTTTTCACATTCGTGTGTATGCTATTATTCTATTAAATTGCTGTCAAGTTGGTTCCGACTCAAAGCAACCCTGTATAGGGTTTCCAAGGAGTGGCTGGTGAGCTTGAACTGCCAGCCTTGTGGTTCAAACGGACTTTGTATGTGACTGTCCCCTAATCACTCCATCATTCTCATATTAAAGCATATTTAAATTACTTCTAATTTCGCCCCGTGCTAATGCTGTAATTAAACTGGTTTGTCTAGAAACTCAAGGGAGTATTTCTGCAGGGAAAATTCATGGAAGTGCAGTTGCACATTTTGAATTTCAAGAGAATGTCCTAAACTGTTAGTAACGTGCTCTGGTGTGTAAGCTCCAAGGAGAACAGGGTCAGTCTCGTCCACGACTGTTTCCAGCTCGAAGGCTAGCACCTGATGCATAAAAGTTGACGGGTGGATGAGCATGTAAACATTTTCAGACTGCCTCTCATCTGTACACAGCCACATTTCACACTGTTGATTTATTTCTTCCAAACTGGTGGATGCGGTTTTGTGTGTGTGACAGAAGCCTCCTCCTGGAAGGAGCTGCTCTACTGGGCCCTTGTCTGACCTTTGCCTGTAGCTGCTACTGCATGAAAGGCCTTTTGTGACTCTGTCTTCAGGCCTGTGTCTCCATGGGCCCCACCCTGTCTTAGGGTCCATTGTGCTCCTGCCCTGGAGGACTGTTGGCCTTGGAACTGACCTCTGTCATGCCTTCCACCCTCTTGTAGGTACCTGTTTGCCCTGCAACTCAAGAGGGATTTGCTGGAGGGGCGGCTGACCTGCAGCGACACCACGGCGGCCCTCCTGGCGTCTCACCTCCTGCAGTGTTAGTATCTCCGCGGCCACGGTGGCACAGTGCAGTGAGAGCGGGGCTCAGAGAGGGCGTGTCGGGCTGTGTGTTCAGCTTTGGACGAGGAGGCGCAGGCCAGGATCCCTGTGTGAGGGCTCTCTGGTGTGTGCATTTCCTGTCAGCCGTCCATGATCTCTGACCAGACTCTGTCCGACCTGGGAGGAAAGAGAGCCCGCCCTTCCCTCCAGGTCCTTCAGAGTGAGAGCTGGCTCAGAAGTGTGTGGGAACCTTTCCCACCAACAAGCTGAGGGGTGGGGCCGAGGAGGGGCTGGAGGTTGGGTGCAGCCCCACCCTGCGGGCCTCCTACATGCAGTGTGGAAAGCGCAGGAGCTTGAGGAGTTGAGATGTGGTTTCGTTCCCATGCCACACCCTCTGTGGTGGCACACTTGCTCCCATGCCCCATCTTGCTGTGTGGGGCCTGTAGACTTTTCTTGCATGCTCTGAGGGCTTCCAGGAGTAGGCGGATTGAGTGGACTCAGCTGGACTCAAAGTCACAGTAGCTTTTGGAGCTGTAGCTTTCCACTCAGCAGTACTGCTTGTCTACTGGCGGAGACTGGCGAGACGGGCAGCTGAGAGCAGGCTCCTCAGCCGCGGGGGCTGCACGGGGCCGTGTGCTTGTCGCTGTCCTGCTCCAGAGCAGAGACTCAAATGTTTCCTACTGTGGAGCTTTACAACATTTGAAAACCATTCACAGCCCTCAAATATGAGAAATTAGCAAGAGATGTTGTGTCTAAACAAATCCCAGGGGTCCTGAAGGAAAACAGAGTTAATTCACATACATTATCCTGAGAATCTCGGGCTTAGGGATGTACAAAGGGGCTTCATAATTTTGTAGAAATTTGTCATTCCATTTTTCCATGAACTTTTTGAAGTACCCTTGTAATATTTTAGTATATATCTAGGATAATTTTTATACTTTTGTTTACACATTTGCATCTATAAACATTTATAGTCTACTTAACCATTAGGATTAATTGACTTTATTATCCTTCTCAGCGGAAATAGGAGACTATGATGAAACTCTAGACCGAGAACACCTCAAAGCCAACCAATACCTGCCTGACCAGGTGCGCTCCCTGGAGAAGCTGCTGGAATTCCACCAGAAACACACGTGAGTCTCTTACAACTAGATAGCACATCAACCAGGGCACAGGTGGGACTGGAGGGCTGGTGCTGGCTGGCTCAGGTGGCAACCCGCTCCCTAGCCATGCCAGGAGCCTGGGGCCCCTGATGTCCGCTGCAACCCTTGCCTCGTTCACGGGCCATCTTCTCACTCAGTGGAGTGTGAGCAGTTTTCTGTAGCTCCAATAACGCTGTCCACTAGCTGCGTGATGGGAGGAGCTCTCGGGCGGAGGGAAGAAACGCTCGTGGTGGCTGCTACTCCTGCATTGCTGTATGCCGCATGCTCAGAGGAAGGGGGCCGGGGAGCTGGAGGAGGAGGCAGACAGAAGAGCAGCAGAGGTGCTGTGGGGATACCGAGGCACAGGTGCTGGTGACCTGCTAGTCCCCAGGACACAGGTGTCTCTGGGAGCTGGTGGAGAGACAGTGCACAGTGGCATCCTGAGGCCCACTGGATCCCCCCACACACACACACACACAGGCAGATGAGGGGACAGGAACCTTTTTCTATTGAGGATTCCTCCAGCTCCCAGGGGTCAAGGCTGTCTCAGCAATAGGCCGGGCTGCTTTCGTTGCAGGGGCCAGACGCCTGCTGAGTCCGATTTCCAGGTGCTGGAAATTGCTCGGAAGTTGGAGATGTATGGCATCAGGTTCCATGTGGCTTCTGACAGGGAAGGGACCAAGATTAACCTGGCCATTTCCCACATGGGTGTCCTCGTCTTTCAGGTAGGATGGCTGTCTGCCGCATCCCGGGTGGCCAGAGGGCAGGGTTAATAGAGATGTAAGTTGGTAAATTTTTATTCTCATGAAGTCTTGGACTCATTCCAGAACATTTCACCACCTCTTCCCCCAAACCCTGCACCTGTTAGCAGTCATCCTCATCGGCCACCCCTAGCCCTCCCGTCTGTCTGCATTTGCCTGCACCTGAACTGGCACATTATGTGGCGCCCTGTGTCTGCACCCCTCCTTCAGGCACCATGTAACCCCGTGTCTGCGCCCCTCACTCTGACCCTCCACCTTACCAAACATGATATCCTTCTCCAGTGACTGTTCCCTCCTGACAGTATGTCCGAAGTATGAGAGACGAAGCTTAGCCATCTTGGCCTCCAAGGAGCACTCTGGCTGCACTTCTTCCAACACAGATCTATTGGTTATTTTGGCAGCCCATGGCACTTTCAATATTCTCCTCCAACACCATAACTCAAAAGCATCAATTCTTCTACGGTCTTCCTTATTCACTGTCCAGCTTTCGCATGCATATGAGGTTATTGAAAATACCATGGCTTGGGTCAGGCACACCTTAGTCCTCAAGCTGACATCTTTGCTCTTCAAC